GCTCACTCTCCATCTCTCAAAAAATAAATAAACATTAAAAATATATATATAAAAAAAGAAAAGACACATATTCGTAGCGCCTGACGGCAGCTTCCCAACCCTTCTAACCACACGCATCAAATATCTGTGGAGATAAAATTTTTAAAGTTGAGATAGTCGTACTTTCGCTGTGGGTACACTTACGTGCTTAGAGTTAGTTTGCTTTATATCAGAGAGTAATAGCATTCAATTTCACTTCCCAGATGTTGGAGATTGTGCCCCAGAGCCACCTGCAGTCACTCTCTCTGGGCAGACAGAAGCAGTCTTGGTGGCAGTTTGTGCTTCTGAGGGGACAAGTGGAGTCCATGGAGACTCAGCCACCTCCGCCCTGCCACAGCTCCCTCGGGCTGCCTCATTTCATGGGCCCCCATGGTCATCTCAGGCAGGTGCACCCGGGTTTTCGTGTGTCAATTCCAGGCCTCTTCTGATCCCAGAAGGGGGTTCTTCTGATGGCATCGACGTGTCCTCCTTTCACACACACCTCGCTGTCTCATAGTGATTTCCATAGGCGGCGCCACCATTAACGGGCGTTTCTTTAATAGACCAGTATTTCGTCGTCCTGCAAAAAAAGGCAAGGCCGTGTGTTTTTCGTCCTGGTACCATAACTGTGTTCCACAAAGGAGGCTAGCCCCAGAGGCCCGGTGGCCTGGCGGAGTGGGGACAGCAGCCCAGGAAAATGCGAGCATTAAGTTCCAGCATGAGCTCTGCCTCACACATACTTTATTCCTGTGGCTTGTCCCCTAACCTCCCTATTTCAGCGCACGGGTGTGGGTACTGGATAGAATAACGAAGGCGAAAAGGTGTTGAAGATGACAACGTGCCACACAAGTAAAATTAGTATGAGATGACTGGTTTTAAAAACAAACACCGCAGGGGCGCCTGGGTGCCTCAGTCAGTTAAGCATCCGACTTGATTTTGACTCAGGTCATGATCTCACAGTTTCTTGAGTTTGAGCCCCACGGAGCTGGCTTGGGATTCTCCCTCTCTCTCCGCCCCTCCCCTGCTCCCACGCCCTGCCTCTCTCGAAATCAATGAAAATAAAGAAATAAACACATCAAATAGCGAACTTCACGTAAGCGTCATCCCCTTCAAAGCTGCTATTCTGTGACTTGCATACATCCTTGCTTTCTAATGACCTTCATTATTTTGTATATCACTTATCCATTCCCATATTTACTCCTCTGACCAACCTGTCTTTTTTTTTTTTTAACATTTATTTTTGAGAGAGAGAGAGATAGAGAGAGAGACAGAGCTCGAGAGGGGAAGGGCCAGAGAGAGAGGGAGACACAGAATCAGAAGCAGGCTCCAGGCTCTGAGCCATTAGCACAGAGCCCGATGCAGGGCTCGAACTCACGAACCTCGGGATCATGACCTTAGCCGAAGTCAGACGCTTAACCGACTGAGCCACCCAGGGGCCCTGACCTGTCTTGACTAATCACCGAGTACCAAGAACGGATTCAGTAGTGGAGGTTGCGATACGGAGACCAAAAAGACCAGTTCTTGGCCTGGGCACGTGACCTGAGCTGAAGTCGGACGCCCAACCGACTGAGCCACCCAGGCGCCCCGAAGCACTTCTGCTTCTGAGGTGCTCGTGCCTTCCAGGGGCATCGCTGGAGGAAGTAGATTCGGCTGAGACTTCTGTTCAGAAGACACAGAAGCCGTGAAGGCTTCGGGAACAGAGAGGAACGGAGAAGTGATGATCTATCCCGTGTTATTAAACATGAGCCTTTGAAGCCTCCCGCACCAGGGTATGAACTCCTGGAGAGCAGGGGCTCGGCCCACATTCAGGCCGCGTGCCTGGGCAGACAGCGCTCGGAAAGTGCTGGCAAACTGATGAATGTGTTAACATTTTCATTTGATCATCTCGAGTTCATTCCTCCAGGCCCCCTGAAGAGTAGGAACCTAGTATTTACTGAACGCGTGAACTATGTGGACCCTCGTGGAGATTAACAAAATCTCCTTGACATCGATCGCACGGGACCGGCTCTGTGCTGCCGCTGCAAGGACCGATGAGAACCAGCCGGCACGGAGGGGACACGTGCGGGCCTGGGACATCACCGCACTGGATCTCCACACTGCCAGTTGCTAGCCTTGGCAAGTTATTCAACCTGTTTGTGTGTCAGTTCCGTTGTTTTACTTTTTTTTAACTTTTTTTTTTTAAGTTTATTTTTTGAGGGGCGCCCGGGTGGCTCAGTCGGTTGGGCGTCCGACCTCGGCTCGGGTCATGATCTCACGGTTCGTGGGTTCGAGCCCTGCGTCGGGCTCCGTGCTGACAGCTCGGATTCTGTGTCTCCCTCTCTCTCTGTCTCTGTCCCTTCTCCGCTCACGCTCTGCCTCTCTTTCTCAAAAATAAACAAACATTAAAAAAAATATTTTAAAAAGTTTATTTTTTGAGGTAGAGAGAGTGCATGCAGGGGGAGGGGGAGAGAGGGAGACAGAGAGAATCTCCAGCTGGTTCCACATCATCAGTGCAGAGCCCGACATGGGACTCGAACCCACGAACTGTGAGATCATGACCTGAGCTGAAACCAAGAGCGGGATGCTTAACTGACTGAACCACCCAGGCGCCCCAGTTCTGTTGTTTTCAAGTGGGGATTTAATACTCTCCATCTTATAATACGGTTGATAGGAGTTAATTCAGGTAAGGCACTCAGAATTCCGCAGAAGGAATAAGCAGGCAATGAAAATGCAGAGTTACGAAGCAGACCGCATAGGGTTTGTGGGAGAACAAAATGGGGAGGCACGCACCCTAACATGGCTTTAGAAGTTTCTAGGAAGCTTCCTGGAAGAAGACATAGGACTTTTCCAGGTGGGGACCTGGTATTCGGTGCTGGAGAGGTTTTGGAAGCCATGGTCCTCCCACTTGGTCTGAACGAGCTCCACTGAGTGGGGGTGGGGGAGGGAGGGGGGAAATGATGATGTGGGAGGCAGGGGGTTGCTTTTCGGGGCTAAAGGCCTCCTGGACCAGACGGCCTGGGGGCTGGGACCTTATCCTGCAGGAGGGAAGGCACAGCAGAGATGGAGATAAGGTCTTTGATTAGAGAGGAGGCAGAACGCACTGAACTCAGACACTGGCCTCTCAAGGAGGGTGCTCAAAAATCACAAATACATAGGGAGAAGCCCAGTAAACTGGGAACTGGGAAGGGCCAGGCACTCACATCTTCTAGCAGTTGCTAGATGGACTATTAAATCACCCCCTCTCGCCTCCGCCCCAGCCCCCAGCTCCCCCAGGATCACCTGCTCGTGACCCAGCTTCCCATCGGTCGGGGGCGCTGGTCACTGTTCCTCCCGAGTCTTCTCTCTCCAGCCCCTGCCGGTCTCTGTATCTGCCAAAGCCCTTTCACACTCTCCCTGACCCTCGGGCCCCCCTGACCATCTGCTTTCCCACTGCCGCTGAAAATCCAATTGGTCATCTGTGACTGAGCTCCTCCAACAGCCACGCGAGGCACTCCCCTTCCGGTTTCAGATTGCGGTTCCCCCACCGGTGGGCGGGGTGAGTTTGCTAACCTGCACATCCCCGTTTGCTACTGCTCTGTCCCCTGTGTAAAACCCAATTTGCCTTCAGGACAACATCCCAGTTTCTTAACCAGGCTCTCAAGGCCTGGCTCCCCGCCAAATCCAATGTTGCAATCACGCTGGCCTCTCTCTCTCTCTCTCTCTCTCACCCTGAACCTCTGGGCTCTTCTTCCCAGCTGGAACAGCCTTCACCAGTCTTCCATGAGCATGTATGCACAGCCAACCAAAGGCCTGCCGGCCCCCTCGCGGTCTACCCCAGCACTGTGCAACAGAACTTTCTGTGAGGCAGGAATGCCCTATCTCTGCACTGTCCAGTACTGTCCCACGCCACAGGTAGCCACCGAGCGCTTGAAGTGTGGTTAGTGTGACCGTGAATCTGAGTTTTAAGTCTGATTTCATCTTACATCATTTAAATGTAAATGGCCGCATGCGGCCACTGGCCGCCACAGTAATTTCGTTGATCTTAAAAACGCCAAAGCAGAACCCCCAAAGGTTGAACTGGGACGTTTCTATAGCAAAGAATGGTAGCAGCTTGGATCAGAGGGGAGAAGAGAAAATGTATCAGGCTGGATCGCCTACACCTCTCATCCATATGTATTTCTCCGATTAATGTGATTCCAGGACGTCCAACTGGTGCTTAACAACACATTTGATGTCGGTCTAGTGCCCAGGGCGCACGCTGGCGAGGCCGCTTTGTAATGCTGTCCTCCTTCCTATCATCCCC